AATTTATTCCTGGGTCCCAAGAGACTCTGTATTGGCAGTAGGAACTCTCACTAACACACACACACACACACACACACACACACACACTAGTCTCACATACTAACTATAATCTCATTGAGAGGTCTTATGAAAGAATATTGAGTTAGATGCTCCAGTTGCTGCCGAGCTCCACTATTATAACCAAACATGGAGCGTCTAGAAAATACACACACACTTTCACACACACACACACACACACACACACACACAAGAAGAAGGGGGAAAAAAGAGAGAAAAACGCTACGTAAAAATAACATTTTATATGTAATTCCACCTAGGCAAGTTAAGTTAAATTATCTGGAGCGTGGCGGGACGGGAGATCTTGTTTTACTGTTTGGTTCACATTGCAAACTGACTGCAGCAAAATACTGAGAATTATTGGCGAGCGAGTGAGGGAAAGATGAATAGATCAAAGAAAAAAATAGAGAGGGAGAGAAGAGCTGACTCTCACAGGCAACATTCCTCACTCATGACTGTATAAGGAGAAGGAATCAGACATCATAAGACCCTGCGAACACACACACACAATGCACACACACACACACACACACATGTTGCCCTCCCTCACTGTTATTTCTATACTGTTAGTCAAGTGCTTAGTGAGACAGCTCTTTCAGTCCATTTCATCTTCTTGGACGTCAGACGCATTTTTTCATGACAGAGTGAGTGGATGTGAAAGACTTGTTATGTCGTGTCGGACGTTTCAGTGTGAAACTTTGATCTGAGACGTCACATTAATGTGACATGTTAAATTGCTGTGGCCACTGTTTGTGATCGGAGCTTCCTGCATTCTTTCTCTGATATGCTTTGTTGTTTTTTTTTTTTTGCTTTGTTATATAATGTAACTTAAAAGGACATTTGATTTTATTGTCTGTAACTGAGAAAAATTTTGGTTTGTCTGATGATACTGGAGCACAGGATCTATCATTTTATTGCTTTCCATTCATTGTCTACGTAAGCAGCTGTGAGATGCATTCTGGTGGTGTTGTGATGTCTTTTGAGAGACAGAGCACGCTGGTGGTTGTGATTCCTGCTTTGCATAACACTGAAGTCTAGGCTACGTTATGCTAATCACGGGCATCAGTGTGTCGCCAGCTTTGGAAAGCCCTGAAAAACTGTGTGTTGCAGCTGCACAGCCTCCTGATGTTATCAGAAACAACCACCATGTTGGTCCGGTATAAAATCCAGATGCAGACGGCCCACCAGGGTGGTTTCCGTCCAGTCAGGTGCAGTCAGTGTGTACGCAGTTGTAGGAGGGTGACGTCTGTGTTGATTTCCTGGGAAGCAGCATGATCAAGTAT